ATATATATATATATGTATAATAAAGTTAAATAAAAATATTATGACCTCACTTTTTAATAGAATAATTCCTACTTTATCAAAGAAATGAAAAAAGAATAAAGAAATTTCAGAAATATTTTGCTGTACAATTTTGCAAAAATCACTTCAAAAAATATATTAAATATATTAGTGGAAATCAGAGAAATTCATATCTATTGAACAGTAATTCTAAGAAACTAATATAATTAAAAGTAATATTTAAATTTGTCTGTATTTATCTTTGATAAATTTTAATAAAAGATATTTTTCAGAAATTTTTAGTATTTTACAAAGAAAAGAAAAATATTACAGAAATAATCAGAAAATAAATAAATATTTTTAGAAAATCAGTTTTTTTTAATTTTTATAACATATAGTATTTTTCTGACGTTCCTTACTTTTTTTAAAATGTTTCAATTTATAGATTTTTTCATAATTTTTAAAAAAGCTTCAGAAAAATATTTTTACTCAGACAAAAATTTCTGGATATCCTGTGGACTAGCAAATAAGCGCCTCATCACGACCTGGAGACATCCTCGGGACGTCTTCCTCTCAGCCTCAAGCTATCTTGAGGACTTTCTTAGGATGATTTTAGGATGACTTCAAGATAACTTCAGAATATCCTACAAGTATCCTTAGGGTCGTTCTGAAAAAGTCTTAAACATATCCGTCCGTAATCTTGTAGACGTCTAATATTGATCCAGAGCATTCCAATCAGCAAAATGTTAGCAGAATGTCGGCAAACAGATTTAATCAGAAAATTATAGCAGACTGACTTCATCTGAGGTCTCATTTTGCTTACATTCTGTTGACAGAACCTGTTGACATTCTGTGTCAGCAGACTGGCAACAAAAATTGAGCAGATCCTGCCATTAAATTGTGTCACGCAGGTTCTGCTCGTTTTCTGCCACCAATCTGATGCCAGCTTGCAGCACTTAGGATGTCTCTAAAATCATCCTAAGGTCGTCTTAAGAAAGTCCTCAGGATAGCCTAAAGCTGAATAAAGAACGTGAGGACGTCTTGAAAATGAGACATTCATTTGTTGGTCCACAGGACATCCTGTTTACGTTTCAGAATCATAGGTAGTCCTCAACATATCCGGCTCATCTAATAGGACGTCCTGAGGATGTCCTTGTATTATTAGGGGAGAAAACTTAAAGATACATAACAAAATGAATGTTTCAGAAACATTGTATATGTAATGTTGTTTTTAAAGTTGCAAAAAAAACGTTCTACACAAAACGTTACTTCTACGTCACGAAACGTTTCAAATGATCATATTTAGGGCGAAAATGCGACGTTTGTGGCACGACGTTTGTTTCACGGAATGATGCAAATAAAATATTATTTTTAAGTGTTTACGAATCTTTTATGAACCTATACACATAAAACGTTATCAATTTGCTAATCTACAGCCAAAATATAACGTTCTCTGAAGGTTTCATGTTTAAATGCCAGTTATTAATATCAAATCTTATACAAATAATGACGTTTCTTAAAGTAACAATTTACGAATCGCACTTTGTGTAGGAATATCTCCGCTCCGTAGGGCACGTATGTCTCTTTACTTGACATCTTTTTTAAAAAGATAATTTTGATTGATTATACATTCAACAGAATGTTTATTTTACAATTGTTATAAAATTTTCTTTAAGAGATTAAATTATATATTATAGATCTAGAAGAATAATTCAATTTTAGTATAAAAAATACTTCAAATAATTGTAAAATTAATAGTTATTTTGCTGAACATGACCAATGATTGTATCACTTGACGTGCTAATTCCTAACCCATGAAATCTATAATGTCCACTTTATGACAATACATATTTGCAATTAGTTCCCGCACGAAAGCATTAATTTAAAAATTTTTTATCTCATTTTTATATTAAATTCTGTTATCTTGTGTTTTATATTGACAAATACTTTATTTTATAAAAAATTATATTATTTGATATTAAATATAATAAAAAATATAAACTTAATTAAATTTATATTTCAAAGAAATAAAAGAAGATGCCAACACATTTTTCCCTAAAACATAATGCTTTTAATTTTATAAGGTAGAAATTATTTATTACTTTCATCGTAGAAATTTCTTTTTATCATATATTTTATCACATATTTTTATATCAGCAAAAATACAAATATCTAAATATATATGAACACAGAAATTATAATATGGAAATATAATATAAAAAATATCAATGTTTATATTGCATTCATCTTACATGTAGTTTCTTCCTCTTCATAGATTAATTAAAAATATTTTTTCTCTAATTTTAACATACTTCATTTTCTAATCAAAACATTCTTATTGCATGTAGAGCAATATTTCTATATTTATAGCGGTTTTATATTTATATTGCATTTACTTTTTTTATATTTATGTTATTCCACTTCAAAATGTATATAAATTAATGTCACAAAGAGATAAACAATAGAGATAAATAAAAAATAGAGATAATTAATCTTTAAGTAGGAAGGTATGTTTTTAATCCAGCAGATTCACTTTTTTTTTGGATTTAAATTTATTTCTTGTTGTTCCAATCTACGATGTCTCAGCATTGTGGATATCACTCCATTAAAGCTAGCAATTTTTTTCTTAGCACTACCTTTTGGAGTACTTTCACCAATCCTTCGAACAGGTAATCTTGGTGATGACATTTCATCCATAAAATCAAAGTCAGATTTCTCCTCAATTCTGTAAAAGTATTATTAATATAAAAAATTAAATATGATTAAAACAAATTATAATAATTTACTTATATTCTGGAGATTCAAGTTCTTGTTGTAGATTATTTGAAGGAATAGGGGAAGGTCCTCGTCTGCCAGGACATTTCCATTCAAGTTCTAGAATGCGATTTACTTCCAAACTTTCAATTAATGAGACTATATTTTCAGCCTTTATATTCCATTCATGCTATGCAAATATGGACACATATATTTTTAATAAAACTTAACATAAAAAAGTTTTTAATGCAACATTTGTTAATTGTAAATATAAAACTGATCAAATATATAAATTATGTAATAAAAAGCTCTCAAGTTGTATAAAAGATCGCAATGATAATTAGATTTCGAATTCTCTTTCGAAGTAAATTAGACTATTTCATACCTTTTCATCCACTTCATATTTTTCATCATCGGAACATTCTACAAACCAATCTTCTTCAATGCATTCCATTTTGTTCAAATAATCCTGTTTAAAAATTACATTAAAACATTCTTATTATTTCATTCGCGTGTAATCGATTATTCCCAATTTAAATATAAATATTTTTTCATTAAAGAGAACATACATTCTTTCCATATAACACATATAATCAAAACAAATGTTTTTCTTATATTTTTACTGTTTTAATAATAATGATATTACAATGTGTAGTAATGACAATTTGGTTGAGACGTAGAACATATACTAAGAGAAATGAAAGCTCTGTATATAAGATGGGCAACAAAAGACACTGGCATCTGGTGGTGGAGTGCGAACCGTAGGTTTGACGGGTTTCGTCTCATGTATACATGTAATCTTTTTAATAGTTTGAAATTTCACTTTTTTTAAAATAGATATTAAATAATAATTAGATGATTAAATAGATATGTAAAATTAATAAAAACAAAGATAAACACTATATACAAAATAAATATACTTATTACAAAATAAACCGCACACATACAATATATTATGAAAATATTTATATTGAATTTTTCAATATATAAATATGTTTTTGTCAATATAAAATTCTATAACAATATACAACATGTATAAAATATCATACGCCTTTAACGTAACGTTATGCTTTTGACAGATACAAGTATATGTAATTAATCGGGTGAGGTCCAATCGGACACATTGTCGATTGGTCGATTAAAAAATTTTTGATAGGTGACTCACTAGAAAATTCCTAGGCATCGGCTGATATGAGTGATGTGTCCGATTGAAATGTGCGCATCTGGGACGATGCCAATTAATCCCTCATTTCATTTTTAATTTTTTAAACAAAAATAAAATAATACAAAAAATAAAAATAAAAATAAATTAAAAGAG